TTATTGTTTGGCTCTTCACAGAGAAGATGTGCTGAGCTCTGGTTAAAAGAATGTGGGTAAATGAAGGTTAAGTGAATCAGGTTAAATGAAGGATAGGTAAAGGGAGAGGCTATTTAGCTCAAAAGAGAGGTGTTTGGGAGGTGTTTGTGATGGAGGCATGGGAACTTCCTGTAGTATTTGAAGGATTGTCATCCAGAAGAGGGAATCAACTTGTTCTCTGTGAGTATAAGAATTAGATCTAGAACCAGTTGTTGGAAATATAAGGTAGCATTGCATTATGGAACATTTTTAATTTGTCTAAAGGTGGAATAGAAAACCTTGGGAGGTAGTCTATTGGTATTCCCATCATTGGAAGAATTCAGACGGGTCAGACAACTAACTAGCAAGGACCTAGTAGAAAGGATTCAGCATCATCTTGAATGATTTTTAAAGTTTTCTAATCTTGAGAGTCTGTAATTTTATGAACTCACACAACCGAGAATCTGTATCAAGGGAAGATTTCCCAGTACAAAATACACCTTTGAGTACATCACTGCTTCTGCATAGAAATCCATTAATGAAATCTTTTTGTCAGCTAAATTAAGTAAAATTCTTCAGTTCTCCACTGGTAGTGTCTAGGTTCTTTGTACTTTGATCCAAACTTAGCCTCATCTATCTTAACCTGCACAGCATCTCCCACCTTGGTTTCTACCAAACATTGTTCTAGGATATGCAAATCTGTGATATGTAGAACAAAGGTTCTGTGTTCAAATAGATTTAGGAAATGCTGATACTGAATCTCGTCCTTGACACTTCCAATCTACATTAGGGTACTAAAAGCTCTGAGAAGAGCTTGGTTTAACTTTTTAAAACTATAGCATCTCCCACACATGTATGAACACAATACTTTTTTTCCTTTCGCCACCACTATTCACACTGCAGACCAGTTTTCCATTTGTCATTTTTGTATTCTTTTTTGTTTTTTGTTGTTTTTGCATTCTCTCTCTTCCTCTTATGTGCTGTTTTTCTCCCTCCAACTTCATTCCTAATCCTGCGTTTGGAAATGGTGAAAAAGATAATTAGACTGCAGAGTTTGTGGAAACCTTTTGAGACCACACAAAACACTCCCTGTAACCCCAGGAAAATAGGAATATAAAGAGGTGCAAGAATTTAGAAGAATATGAATGTGAAAGGAGAAATTATGTAAGATGAAGGTGCTTTAGATGTCATGAAATTTTTCATAGTCACTTAGTTATTCAAAAAGTGAATCACTGTTTTATTGGTAATCTGGCCTTTTGCCTTGTAATTTCTGGTTTCAGCTAGTGTTCTGTTTATGATACCATCTGTTTAGTTAGGCAGTGTTTAAGCATGTGAATAAAAAATGGGGTTGATATCTATAGAGGAAGTGACATTACCTATGCTAGGAAGGTAATATCCATACTCTCCCACTCCTTGGTGATGTTCTCTAGAGAGGGTATTTTTCTGTGTCTGGAGTAGTGACAGGTTAAAAGGAATAAAGGTGAGAACTTATTTGTACAGTCTATTTATAATCATTTGGAGATGTTCTCCTTCCCAGCATATGACACAGTCTCAAAAGTATTAGTTCCCCTGAATCACCCATATGAACCATGAACATGTATCTTACAGATATCTTCAGTCACTGGCTGCTGTCACTTATTGAGAATAATAACAGCCAGAGGGTATAGCTTAATGATTCAAGAATCAGCTTCACATAAAGACTCTATCTAGTCTCCCTAGAAACCAACAATCAAATCTCATCAGGGTCAACTTAGCCCTTTTTATAATAGATAAATTGAATAACATGCTGTTTAGTTTGTATGTGTGTTATTGAATGAAGGTATGGAGAATATTTGGTCTGCATATTAAAAACATCAGTATTGGTAAGTAAGGATGTTATTTTTCCTAAATTATTTAACCTTGTATAATTGAGGATGCAGAAGAAACGTGAATGTACAGTGTTCTGTAAGGTTATTTTTAGTAAATAGTAATATACATATTTTTTTAAATAGTAATATTTTAAAAACAATAAGAGGATTTGTTTTTCTGGTTACACTGCCTTTGGCTTTCTGCCTCCTTTTGGGCTTGAATTTTTAGAGAGTAGAAAATGCTTGGATAGTCAATAATATTTCTGTATGTATCATTTCCTATGTTGTATGTCATTTTCTGGCTTTTATTTGGAAAAGTAAAAGTGTATTAAAAAGTCACTTGCCATTTCTTAAAAACGTTATAGATTGCCCAAGAGTTACACATTCATTGCAGAAAATTTGGAAAATACAGACTAGTATAAACATGAAAATAAAAAAGTTAGCATTAGTCCTACTTTTAGAGATAGTTGCTGCTAACTGGTAATGCTGTAGTTAGTAATCTCTCCGCTATAATTCTGTAGATATGTATATAGTAAGATTTGTCTGTGTATTCCATTTTTAAATGATCACAAATTTCGTTCTCAGTATTTCCATGCTAAAAAAATAATAACTTCTCCAAATATTCTTTTGTAAATTTTTGTAAACATCTCTTATTTTCTTACATTAAGTTTCTAGGAATGGAATTGTTAGCTCAAAAGGTAGGAGATTTTTAAGATGCTTCATTGATACTCCCAAATTGCCTTCTAGGAAGGTGTAGTATATATTATTTTAAAAACTTTATTTTTAAGTAATCTCTATACCCAGTGGAGCTCAAACCCACAACCCCGAGATCAAGAGTCATGTGCTCCACTGACTGAGCCAGCCAGGCGCCATAAACGTAGTATATGAGTATTAGTCTGCTTGGGATGCCATAACAGAATACCGCAAATGGGGTGGCTTAAACAGAAGTTTTTCACAGTTTTGGAGACTAGAAGTCCAAGATCAAAGTGTCAGCAGGGTTTGCTTCTGGTGAGGTCTTTCTGCCTGGCTTATAGATAGTGTCTTCTTGCTGTGTTCTCACATGGCCATTTGTCTGTAAGAGTGTAGAGAGAGGTATCTCTGGGTGTTTCTTCCTCTTCTTATAAGATGACCAGCCCTGTCAGATTAGGGCCCCGCTCCTTACGATCTCATTTAACTTAATTAACTCCTTAAAGGCTTTATCTTCAAACAGTAGTCACATTGTGGGGGTGTTAAGTTTCAATGTATGAATTTGGGGGGAATACAATTCAGTCCATAACAGGTATTAACATTGGCATGCCATCATCAGTGAATGAAAGTTCGCATATCCCCATCTTATTGCCAATACTGGATATGTACACCACATACACATGCATGCACATATCATTGGTAATTTGATAAAGATGGCTTTGTTTCACTTTGCATTTCTTTGATCATTAGTTTATTTAATTTATTTATTTAATTTTCTTTAACTCCAAGTTAACATATAGTGTAATAATGGTTTTGATCATTAGTTTCAGTGAAAATTTTGTAAATATGTGGACATTTTAATTTTACATTTTAATTTTTTATGAGTTTTCTATTCTTGTACTTTGACCATATTTTTGTTGGGGGTTCTTTTTCAAAAATTTTTAATGTTTATTTATTTTTGAGAGAGAGCGAGTGAGCGAGCAGGGGAGGGGCAGAGAGAGAGGGAGACACAGAATCCAAAGCAGGCTTCAGGCTCCAAGCTGTCAGCACAGAGTCTGATGCGGGGCTTGAACTCATGACCTGAACCAAAGTCAGACACTTAACTGACTGAGCCACCTGTTGGGGGTTCTTAATTGCCAGTAAACCTACATTTTCATTTGTGTGTTTAGCTATGTTGTATGTATCATACCCTGTTGCTAATACAGAAAAGGAATTGTACCTTAAAATGTTATTTATCTATGATTTACCTTTAAATACAGCTGTGTATGCAGGGTTAATGTATGTGAGTATCCATATTAATGAATCATATGTTTAATGCTCACCATACATTTATAAGCACTATTTATAGTTTGGATGCATTGATTTGCTGTCAGTGAAATATAGGTAGTGGCAAGGTTAAGGCAAAATCTTTTCAGCTATTGTTTTCTCTGCATTAACAAATACAGCAGTGTTTCCTGAGATGTGCTCCTCAGGACTCTGATCCTACAAGATGTCCTGTGAGAAGAGATTTCTGTTGGTTGAATAGCTTTGAGAACTGCTTGCATCCTACACCTCCCACCTAGTGCTTGAGAGTGCTCATCAGGAACTGAGAAGCCCTGTATGTAGAAAGAAATCTGTTGTACATCTGTAGCCTGAATACTTCCAAAACTTATTTTGGCAATAGGACTTCCCCCCTTTTTTGTTTCTGTGATTTTTGTTGACTTTTTATTTTGAAACGATTCACAGGAAGTTATAAAGAAATGTACAGGAAGGTCCCATTCACCCTTCACCAAGTTTTCCCCAATGGTAACATCTTGCATAGCTATACTACAATGTCAAATCAGAAAATCCGTAGTAGTATAATCCATAGAGCTTATTCGGATTTCATTGGTTATACATGCACTTGTGTGTGTGTGTGTGTGTGTGTGTGTGTGTGTGTGAGTGTGTGTGTGTGTGGTTCAATGCAGTTTCATCACTTGTAGGTGTGTATAATCAGCACCACGAGACTCCCTTATGCTAGTTTTTTTATAGTCACACACATTCTCCCCCCCTTTCCTACCTCCTGGCCACCACTGATAAGTTCTCCATTTCTAAACTTTTGTTATTTCAAGAATGTACTGTAAATAGAATATGGTAAATAATTGTTTGAGATTGGCTGTTTTCACTCCGTGTAATTCACTTTTGGTTCATCCAGGTTGTTGTGTACCAATAGTTCTTTCCTTCCTATAGCTGAATAGTATTTCATTGAATGGATGGACCACAGTTGGTTTACCCATTCACCCCACTGGATGACATTTACCCCCTCCATATATTTTTGGTGGAATCCATTAATATCCTGTATGAATATTGTTCTGAAGTAAATCAACTTTAGAAATCCTGTACCACAGAAATGATACAATAAATAATTACAACTTTTTAAAGATTATGCCGGAGTTGCAGAAATTAAAAGTCTGTTACTATTTGGTTTAGGAATTCCAGAGACGCTGTAATACTCTGATTTCATTGATTGAGAAAGAAAATATGGAAATTGAGGAAAGAGAGAGAGCAGAAAAGAAGAAACGGGCAACTAAAACTCCAATGGTAAAATTTTCAGCATTTTCCTAACTTTTAGGTAGATCTCACTTTTTTTACATAATTAAAATGCCTATATTATGTTTAATGCCGCGTGATACCTATTATAAAAACTGTTTTTATGAAGTGCTAATTTGTTTTTGACAGAAAAAGAATACACTACAACCGCATTCCTTATTTGTTTGTAGAACATATGGTTAGGAACTCCCTCGTAAGAGGGCTCAATATTTTAAAAAATTCCTCATGACTTTAAGCAGAAGTATAATGCAAGTAAAATCCTTTGAATGGAGAGTCAAGTTGTCGTGGGGGAGTAGGAGAGGGGTGGGGTGGGATGGGATGGGGCTGAGGTTGAAACTTGGAGTTCTGATTTGATCAAATAAGTTTTCTGATCTTTGTGGAACTATGAGTACAAATGAGACTTGGAGCAGACAGCAAAGCTTTACTTGGTCTACTTGGTAACAAATAAATTGCTGAATAATAAGATGACTTAGTTTTAATCCAGTCAGGTCGCCTTGTATAGCTACAATTTGAAATATTCTTTAATAGATCATAGTATTTGAGTGTGGTTAAGTAAACTACCATATTTCATCAAGTCTAAGATGTTTCCTATTGTAAGAAACAGCATCATTTTCTGTATTGCTAAGTGAAACTGCTGCCAACTAACTCATTTGTCATCAATTGTAAGATGCATCCTGATTTCAGAGATGCTAAAGTGAAAAAGAAATGCACATCATAGAATATATGAAATATGGTGCTTTAACATCTATCATAAGGTTTTAAAAATAAATAGCATTTGCCTAGAAAACTTTAAGTATTAAGTAGTTCTTTAACATGAGAGTACATTTATGGTACCCTGTGTAAGTAGACATTTGCTGACTATTTTTGATGGGTATTTTATGTCTTTTTTTAAAAAAAAAGTCTTTGAAGGTTATTTTACATTGGGTTATATATTTTGTTGGGCTATATAGAACATTAACTGTGAGTATAACATTTAAGTGAATATTCATGTTAAAATTTTTTTTTGATGCATTTACATCCTAGATTTAACATTGTTGGGCCATTTAAAAATGTGCATATTGGAGCAGAACATTAAATCTGTTTCCATTTTAGTCACAGAAAAGAAAAGCAGAGTCAGCTACTGAGAGCTCTGGAAAGAAGGATGTCAAGAAGGTGAAATCCTAAAGCCTAGAAATAAAGTTTTAAATGGGAAACTGCTATTTTCTTGTTCCCATCTTCAAATGCTAATTGCCAGTTCCAGTGTATTCATGGTACTCTAAGAAAAATCTCTTTGGTTTTGATTTCTTGCATATTTTATATATTTTACAATGCTTTCTACCTGAAATGTGTAGCTTTATATTTTATGCATTCTAGTATTTTTGTGTACTGTATTTTGTGCATTTCATGTCTTCATCAAAATCCTCTCAGTCCTTGTTCTTTTGAAGCTTGTGCTGAGGTTTTAGCTTTTCTATGTTTTATATGCCGCTGCTTTGAAAGAGAACCTAGATTCTATAGCTGTATTATTGTTGTTTCATACTTTAAATTTATATGGCTGTGGAAAAATGAATTAAAATGATTTGAGGAGAAAGACTTTTTCACTTCTTTGTTGCTTTCTTTTCTATTGAGTATGGGCTTGTATGTGTTACTGCATACTGTGATTAGCATAATAATTGTTTCTTTTGAGGTCATCTAAATATTTTTTTCCTAAAGGAATAAAGGGTGAGAACAGAAAAATATTAAAAAAAAACTAATATTTGATACTGTGCTTGCTGTCAGTATGCATTACATTTAAATTATTCTCTAAATATTCAAGTGGGAAAATATAATAAAGAAATGTCTATAAGAAATTTAATTATTTCCTGTTTTTTGTGCAGTAGAAAAATAGTTGTGTTTATTGAATTGTTTTGCTCACTCTACTATGTATTTGGTTGAAAGTTAAAGCTTTGTTTGCTGACTTGTGCATGATCTTCTGTCCCATAGAGCCAGTTCAGAGGAGTCTGGGTATAACATGTAGAGTTATTAACAACTAAGTTAAGGTTACGAAATAAGTGCTATGCATGTAGAAGAATGGGGGCTGGCATCCATAGGACTACAGTTAGGCTCAGAAAAAAAACAATCTCAAAGTATCAGAGTTTTTATACACCAAGAGTTTATTTCTTGCTCACACTACAGATTCCATGCAGGTCAGAAGGATATGAGAATGGGAGGGGATCTGTTTCACACAGTCACTTAAGGTTCCAGACTGACTGAGGCTCCAGTGTTTAGTATTGTGGCAGTACAATCTGGGAAATGTGGCCTTTTCAGCTGCTACTGTAGGAGAAAGAGAAGCTGAAGAGTCTCATGTAGGTTCGTCATTACATAGGCTCAGAGGTGACACATGTCACACCCACTTATATTTTATTGTCCCAAAGTAGTCACATGGTTCTGTGTATCTGAAAGAGGGCTGGCAAATGTAGGGGAACAAATGGAGTGTTTAACATTTCTGCCTCTGCCACGGGGCCTGTTGGCTCAGGAAACAACCTGTGTCTTTCACATGAAACTGTTGGTTTGTGATTAATCAGGATGGAGGTCAGGTTGTCAGGGGAACAGGGAAAATGAATTGGGATCTAGTGTGAAACACACAGCAAATAAGCAAAGTTGGGGAATGCAGGACAGTGATTTTCATTACCAAACAAGGCTTGGATCACTAAAGAGTTGTTCCCCACCCTCCCACCCCCCACCAAGATCTTTAGCATTTCCTATCAGACTCTATTTAGTGTATCACCAGCAAAACTTGGGTAGCCGTGCATGCAAGTCAGCATCTTTTACACCCTCAGTCTTCTCGTAGGCATTCTGAAACATAGGAATAGATCTAGAAGGACAAACCAGTGTCTGCTGGACTCTTCCAAGTCTTCTTCATTGTCTAGATTTCATATTTCTTCCTGCCATGCTCCTGATTGGGTTCCTTTTACTGTTTCTATTGTTAGGACTTAGAGTCTTCTACTCTGTTGGAGATTGGGGTGAAATGAAGGTGCTATTATGAGGTTAGGGTGATATTAGGTCAAGGGACCGAGAGATCCCCAAATCTGTCCCACTTAACTACCCTTTCTGTAAGATTCACAAAGGAGGCAAAGGTAAGCAAGGTAATTCTTCAATAGCTGGTGCTTTTGCTTCAGACTTCAATCCAGAGCTCTTAAGCCCAAAATAAAATCTTGGAATTTTGTACACCAGTGAGATTAAATGCTGTATTACCTGAGCTAGAGAAAATGATACCCGAGAGGGTTTTTTTGAAACCCCCAAGTTTTGTGCACTGAAAAACAGTGAGGGTCCTGGACTCTGATGAATCAGTTCAGCATTTCTTAGGAATTAAGATGCAGGGTGCGTGCAAGTACAATTAGGATCTTTAAACTTCTTTCATGGAAATTTAACAATCTCTGCTTGTTCTTTCTCTGTTAACCCAGAGGGGTTAATAGTTAAGCTGTATGTGACTATCTGCTTTAGGGGAGAAAATCTGCAGGTAAGTTCCTGGAACCTTTTCATGGGGCCATTTTCCTGATCCATATCATGGCTCTTATGAAACTTTTTTGGACCAAAGAGAAGTGAAATTTAGCTCTCCAAAATGTTCACTGAATACCTCTGATGTCATCCTCAGAAACTTGTGAAATGGTTTTATTCAGGACTTTAACTTAAAGGCCACACTATATATTCAGTGAAAAAATCACCACCTACTATATTCATCTTATTTTATGTATAGCATTGTTGTTGCACATAGCCTACCAAGGAGGCCCATGCAGTGAACCCCACATGATAGCATAGTCCAAATAATATAATGTTGGAGATACAAAATGCCCAAGTCTCTATTTGAAACCTCTCTTATTGTCAGTTTTACACAGAGAAATTAAGGTATGATAGAAAATTCAAAAGTTCTAAGAAAGAAATCCCATTTCTAACAAGGGGCTGAGACTGATGGGGTAGTAGCCCTAGGCTTGGCTGCCCTGTTGGAGAGATAAAGCAGGACAATCAGTTTACCAGCTACTTGGAGGCCAGAGGAAGCAGAAGAGCATGCTGTATTCTTGAATACAATTGTATAAATGCACAATGATCCAGCTCACCAGCAAAAATGGTCCAATCGGTTGTATGGGAATCTGACCCAACCTGATTCCTTGTTTGCAGAATGTGCAAGGAGGGAAGTGGATAGAAGAACAGGGACCCTGAGTGGTTTTCTTCACTCAAGACCTCTGTAGAAGACAAGAGGTGAATGGGTTTACCAATAATCCTTGGGCTCCAAAAGAGGCACTTGGAAAGCATCTGTCTTGATCCACTGGATACTCAGGCACTAATTTCCTTAGAATCAAAAGAAGGCAGTGAGCTCAGTAATCTCTCATTGTAATAATAGCCATTTGTATCTCATTCTTTATTGCACAGCTCCTTTTTCCCTGGCCTATGAGTGGTTATGCTATATGGAAAACCTGGATACTTGTTGCATTACACAATTCTCCCATGAAACCTGTGCCCACATTTGGTGTATTGTCTGAGACCTTGCAGTTAAGAGAAGTTATTGCAGCTATCTTAGTTGCAGGGTGTTTGGTTTGAAAAGCCTCTGCTCAACTGGTGGAGCTGTCTACTGTCACCAAAATAAAATGCTATTATTTCCCAATTACTGGCCAAGGTCCCCACTGTAGGTTATTGTTCCTCCTCTGTGGTGCAGTAGCCAATGCAGCTATTTCAGATTCCCCTGCCAGTTTCAAGTCCCATGATGGTGCTGGTGTCCACGTTGTTTTCTCTCTAGCTATTCTTAACTAACTCTTGAAATCCTCTAGTTGTCATCAAATTTCAAACTTCTATCAGAATTCTGTTCCATGTCTCCTTCATTTAGTCTGTCCAAGCTACCCTCCCCAATTGACAAGGGGTAAGATTTTCCTGTGGTTCAAATATATATAGCTAATGCCATCTGTTCTGTCCCCTATCCCTCAGCCTTATTTCTGTGTGCTCCAGCTGATTTCTAACTGCCGCTCTGTGTCTAAGGGCTTTGTCTGAGGACTTTATCAGAAGTTTTGGAAGGCTTTTCTACCCTTTGCATGATAGGCTGGAAGAACTAGAAAGTTAACACCTCTGAGTGCCTCTTAACCAAAAACTAATTGGGGTTGGTGTATAAGTACCCAAACTCTCTCACCCCTTGAGTGAGGTCTTTCTCAGGGTCCTTGTTCTTCTATCCACTTCCCTCTTTGCACATTCTGCAAACAAGGAATCAGGTTGGGTCTTTTCTATATGGTTCCCTGGAGTTTACTCAAAGAATTAAGCTCCAGTCATTCAAAGTAGTAGTTGTGTTGATGACACACTTTTTATTGACTTTGTTTCTTTCCCTGTATCACTTGTTCCTCTGTGGGTATTTTCTGGAGTCAACTTGTCGGTAATACTACTTGCCTGAGAATCATCCCAGGGTCTGCTTCTGAGGAAACCCCAATTAAGACACTCCCCTTGTATACATAGTTCTTCTTAGCCCTTAGTTATTTCATTAAAAGGTGTAGAGTGTTCAAGGAGAATATTGATTGGATAGTATATCACTGACCTGTTGTTAGGTCTACTCCTCTATGGACACTTAGCAGATGATGTGCTTGGATCAGGATATTCTGCACTGGTACAAAGTGCTAGGTTCTGATTTCTCTCCATAAACAAATGAAACTTTCTCATATAACCAGTAGCTGTGGCGTTGGGATTTCTTATTCGGCAGAGGTTAAAAGGTTACCAAGTTTTTGTAAGGCCAAAGCTAGTGCCCAGGCTATTGTCTCTATAAGTGGTGTCCGTGCTGGTTGGTGCCTCTTGCCTGTAGCAGTGGTTCACGAGATAACTGGACCAAGTGTAGGCCTTTATCACTGTGGTGTGTCATATAACTGTGCTGTGGTATCACCAGGCTTTTACATCTGTGACCTGATGATTTGTCCATTTCCTGATACATTGCTTTCCCACTAGGGAAACTTTCATCTAGGCCACTGTAATCAGATTCAAGCTATATATTTCCATTGAAGGCCGAGACATGCTTGGTTAATTTCTGATCTTTTCCCCATGAGATAGCTATTAGTATTTGTCCGTATAGGACTACCAAATTTTGTGGTCTATTTTTGAGAGTCCCCATTTATCTATGGAAGGTTGATGGTGAGTACCATGTATGTGCAGTTGTCTACCTCCCATCATGAATACAGCTTTGA